ATTTTTGTTGATTATGATGGAAGGTATTTTGTTTAAAGGACTGTTTTAAGAGTATGATATTATGTTTGCAATTAATAAATCAAAATAATATTTGCAAGTTAAATGCTTATAATAATAATAATAATAATAATAATATCATGATAATATTATAATATTATCATTATTATTGCTGTTAGTTCTTAAATGACTTATTATTTTATGAATAAAAGTATTGAAGTATTTATTATTATTATTATTATTATTATTATTATTGTTGGTTGTTGTTGTTGTTGTTGTTGTTGTTATTTATTAAATGACTTATTACTTCATAAATAAATTGATTCATTTATTACTATTATTATTATTATTATTATTTATTTAGTGATTTATTACTCCAGTTATTATTATTGTTATTATTATTTATTAAATGACTTGTTACTTCATAGATTATTATTATTATTATTATTATTATTATTATTATTATTATTATTATTATTATTATTAGTATTTATTAAATGATTTATTACTTTATACATTATTTATTTATTTATTTATTTTTATTATTTATTTATTTATTTATTTATTATTTTTATTATTGATATTATTGGTATTATTATCATCATTATTTATTAAATGATTTATTACTTCATAAATAAATGTATTTGTTTATTATTATTGATATTATTATTATCATTATTGTTATTTATTAAATGATTTATTACTTTATAAATATATGCATTTATTATCATTATTATTATTATTATTAGTAGTAGTAGTATTCATTAAATGACTTATTACATCATAATATATTATTCATTTATTATTATTATTATTATTATTTATTTAGTGATTTATTACTCCAGTTATTATTATTGTTATTATTATTTATTAAATGACTTGTTACTTCATAGATTATTATTATTATTATTATTATTATTATTATTATTATTATCATTAGTATTTATTAAATGATTTATTACTTTATACATTATTTATTTATTTATTTATTTTTATTATTTATTTATTTATTATTTTTATTATTGATATTATTGGTATTATTATCATCATTATTTATTAAATGATTTATTACTTTATAAATAAATGTATTTATCATTATTATTATTCATAATATTATTATTTATTAAATTACTTATTACTTGATATGTAAATTAATACATTTATTATTATTTATTAAATGATTTATTACTTCATAAATAAATGTATTTACTTGTTTATTATTATTTTTTATTATTTATTGAATGTTAAATGATTTATTACTTAATAAATGAATGTATTTATTATTATTATTATTATTATTATTATTATTATTATTATTATTATTATTAAAAGCCCTTGACATGTATGAATGTAAACCTTCATTGAAATACAAGTTCCTTTGGAAAAAAAACTGCAATGCATAAATATTTCAATAGTTTACTGATTTATAAATACATATGTTCAAAATGTCTATGTAGTTCAACAATCAAAATTGTAAATGTATATTTATAATGACTGCATATAAACCTGGGACAAAAATAAATGCACATGCTTATTTCAAGGGCGTGTAGGAAATGGAGCAGCTATTTAAATGAAAATAAAAGACCTGATGACCCATTTATTATTATAACTGCAGTACTGTAATTATTCTCAGTGTCCTGCCTCTTCCTCCCGACATACACACACACACTAGGCTGTAAAAAATAGCACACAGAGGAGTAGAAGAGCAGCTGACGTCATGTGAGATCCTCAGAAAAGATGCTTCAGGAGCTGCTCTTCTTCCCCTGTGACACACACACACACACACACACACACACACACACACACATACACCAGCTCTCCTTCAGCCCACCACTGCATTCTGTTCCCGTCATTCAAAGGCGCACACACACATACACACCAGAAATACAGCACAGAACTCAGGACACACACAAACATCCAATGTCATCCACCCACAGACTTCACTCTCAGACCAACATTATCTTCTCTGAGCATCATTTGCTCTCAGACAGCTTATAATTATTGTGTGTGTGTGTGTGTGTGTGTGTGTGTGTGTGTGTGTGTGTGTGTGTGTGTGTGTGTGTGTGTGTGTGTGTACCTTCGAGCTCCTCCTTCTCAAATCCAGCTTTAAGCATGGAGCGGGTTCCTCCTCTGTCCACGATGGCCTCATCATCATTCCTCTGTATGGAGAGAGAGAGAGAGAGAGAGTGTCAGTGTGTTGGTCTCTATCAGAGTGACAGGCTGCAATGAATACGTCTCACTGACAGCTGTGTTTGTTCCCGAATGTCAAACAGTGTCAGATACTGTCAGCTCAATGGACCACACATTCATCTGATGATCGTTGTCCTGAAGCCACAAAGCAGACAGGCTAATAAACTACACCTGAAATGGCAAAAAATAAGCTTTAAAGGGGTGGTCCAGAGTGTATTTTTAAGGCTTGGTTGTTTATAAGATGCAAAACTATGTGTGCTTGTGCTTCATTTCTGAAAAAATCACTATATTTTTTTCATTTATCCTACTTTGTAATAAACAGCCACTCAGCTAACATGAAAACGACTGTCAAGACCCACCCTGAAGAGGCTCTGATTGGACAGCTAACATAATGTACTGTGAGTTGCAGATCAGCATTACAGCTCCTCTGGCAATGCCTCTTCGCTGCACAGGGTGTATGTGTGTAACCTGAAGGGTTTCTGACATCATTAACCCGGATATATATATATATATTTTTTTGTAGTCCGCAAACTTCATTTGCTGTAGGCTTTGCTAAGCTAACTCTGTAAAAGCCAATCTCCCTTTGCATTGAACTTTGAGTGTATTACATTCAGAGATGCCGTTTATGTGCACACAGATACATTAACTCAAGTGTAAAATATGATATCGTAGTGCAGTGGTTCTCAAACTTTATTCATCAAGTACCACCTCAGAAAAAAAATTGTCTCTCCAAGTACCACCAAAATGAGCGGTATTGAAATACAGTAGCTTAGTAGGCCCAGTAAAGCAGCTACAACTCTGCACAGTTAAAAAACATGGCAGATAAACTCAGAAATATAGGCTAAATGTCATGTATGGCATATTATATACATAATTTTTGATATATTTTGAAATATATGTGGCATGTACATGACATATTTCATTCCTCCGCGTACCACTAGAAGGAAGCCCGCGTACCACTAGTGGTACACGTACCACAGTTTGAGAACCACTGTCGTAGTGGATAACCCCTTTAGGCTCCAAGACTGTCAACTTATAATAGTAATGAGAAAAACCTACAATCCCAGAATGCAAATAAACAAATGCAAATAACACAGTCAATTTAAAACTGATGCAACAATGTAAAACTATTCATTTAAAGCAGCTGGCGTTTTTGATTAGATCAGGGTTTCTCAACTTTTTGCAAGCTGGGCCCCCCCCAATGCTGGTTCATTGCAGTTGGAGTCCCATTGCCCCACCACACACCCTCACCACCCTCCACCATATTTCACAAAAACTAAAGAACTAAAGATTCCCAGAGATGGGTTGCGGCTGGAAGGGCATTTGCTGCGTAAAAAACTTGCTGGATAAGTTGGCGCTTCATTCGGCTGTGGCGACCCCGGATTAATAAAGGGACTAAGTCGAAAAGAAAATGAATGAATAAAGGATAAAGAACTAAAGAAAAGCTTCAACTGTAGCCTATATTCTGTATATATTTATATTTTTTAGGTCAGAATTATAATTTAACATACAATATATATATATATATATATATATATATATATATATATATATATATATATATATATATATATATATATATATATATATATATATATATATATATATATATATATATATATATATATATATATATATATATATATATATATATATATATATATATATATATATATATATATATATATATATATATATATATATATATATATATATATATATATATATATATATATATATATATATATATATATATATATATATATATATATATATATATATATATATATATATATATATATATATATATAT